GTACCGGGATATGCGGGGTACTGGGGGTACCGGGAAGTACCGGGGGTACCGGGATGTGCGGAGTACTGGGGGTACCGGGAAGTACCGGGAGTACCGGGATATGCGGGGTACTGGGGGTACCGGGAAGTACCGGGGGTACCGGGATATGCGGGGCACCGGTGGTACCGGGATGTGCTGGCAGGATCCCGGCGGCTTTGGCAGGACCGGGGGCACCGGGACGATGGGAACACACAGGGATGATCCAGGTGGTTTGGGCAGGACCGGAGACACCGGAGCACACGGAGGGACCGGAGGGATCAAAACAGACAGGAGGGAACGGGCAGGACCGGCGAGGAAAGCCGGGAAGCACCGAGGGGACACCGGGGACAGCCCCGGCGGGACGGGCACGGGGCTGAGCTGATCCCAACCCCGATTCCTGGTCCGTGATCGTGGCACCGGCAGCTCCGAGCATCCCTCGGGTGGTTTCTCAGCCCTTGTTCAAATAAGGAACTTTTTTACCCGAAGTTGAGCTCAGTAACGGGGAGAGGGACGCGGTGGTGATGAGGGACACGGTGGCGGGGTGAAAGTGGCAGGGATGAATCTTAATTCAGCTTCAAAAGGGGAAATGGAGAAGGGGAATGTCCTGCAGCGAGAAGGAGCCGAGGGAGGCTCCTCCACCCCGCTGTCCCCGTTTCAGCGGGCACAAGGTGGGCAGGAACGGGGCTCGGGGCAGGCTCTGGTGCCAGCAGCAGGGTGCCCCTCGGTGGGACACTGAATCACGGCTCCAAATAAATCCTCCAGGCTGCTGATTATTGCTGGAATCCCGTCCGGCTGCTTACCAGGCTCCAGCACCCGTCGTATTTCCAGGCAGCATCAGCGGGGCCACAAACACTCGGGATGGGATAAATCCCCTCCCAGGGCTGATCCCAGCGGGATTTGCAGACCAGGAGTTGGGATATGGAGCTTTTCCCTGCCCCTGCTCGTTGCTTTAAGGGGTGTTTGGGTGCCCCCAGCAGAAAATCCCCCACAGCCTCTGAGGATGGGGAGATGGGAGGCAGGGAGAGGGATCTGCACCCTTGGGAGGAGGTTTGGGTGAGGCAGGGGCTGTAGAGGTGTCTCTTACTCATTCCTACATCCCCTCTACCACTTGTGAGTGCGAGGAATCCTCCTGGAACAGACGCACCCAGAGCCCTGAGGGAACCGGTGCAGTTCAGCATCCTGGGAAAGCTGAGAGTGATGGAGACAAAAACTGAATCACCAAATCCCCTCAGCACTTGGGACAACACCCAAGCACCAAAAAGGGCTTTAAAATGGTCGGGTTTGAGGGCACCACGGTGGGATGTTCAGGAGAGCGTTTAGGAGATGGCACTGCTGCCCCAGGGGCGCTGCTGTCCTTCCCAGGGCTCCTGGAGTAGCCAGGAGAGTTGTGGAGCACAGCTCCAGCCTTCCATTTGAATGGCTTTGATTTCTGCGGCTTCCTCGGCCCCTTCATGTTAATTAAACAAGGAGTTGGTTTTTTTGTGGGAGAAGGCCAGCTCTCATTTGCATGCATAATTAGCTGCACAATTATCCTGATGGGGACATGCAAATGGGGTGAAGTCTGTGCCCCATTGGGCACTTGGACCTCTTTGGACCTGTGTGAGCCGCTCCCGACGGGCACTCCTTGTTCCTGGGAAGGGGGAGTGACAAAAATCCCAAAACACGGCCGGGTTTGGGGACAGGGGCAGCCCCAGCTGCATTTGGGGATGGTGGATCCGCCCATCCCATCCTATCCCATTATTTCTGCTCCTCCTGCTCTGTGCTGTTTCTGTGCCCTCCCTGCAGCAGCCCGACGGGATTTGGGGTTTTTAAACCCGGGATTTGGGATTTCTCCTCAGCTGTGAGTCATGGACACGGGCAGGGGGTAATTGTGGAGCAGGGAGGTGTGGAAGGGGAAGGGGGTGAGGACTCACAGCATCCCAGGGTACCACAGCACACACATCCCCCTTTCCATGCTGGCTCCTGATTTATTGGAAGGTGTCCCATGGCAAGGGGGTGGAATTAGATGATTTTTAGGTTCCTGCCTACCCAAAGCAGTCTGTGATCCCCTGTGGCCGTTTCAGATGTGCCCACAGCCAAAACATCTTATTGGAAAATCCAGAGAGCACTGGAGAGGAACCCAAAATCAGCCACAGAACCCAAAACATCTTCCTGGATAATCCAGGGAACCCAAAAACAGCCACAGCACCCCAGGGCACCCTGAGTGTGGGGTGGGAGCTCAGGGCAGCCTCTTTAATTGAATTTTAGGGGTTGGGAAGTGCTGCTTCACTCCAGACTGGAAGTTCATCACCCCCACACAATTACCACTGAAATCCAGCTGCTGTCAGGATTTTCCCAGCCCTGCCTTCATTTTGCAGCCATTTGAGATTCCTCTGCTGTGGGCATCCTGTGCCAAGGTGCCAGTGCTGCCTATGGACCCTCTAAGTGTGTTTTGATGGGAAAATCTTCCCAAATAAATCCTTGGCATCCTGTGCCAAGGTGCCAGTGCTCCCTATGGACCCTCTGAGTGTGTTTTGATGGGAAAA